TCTTCCAGTATTTTGCTCTGCAAAAGACCTATCCGTGGTAGAGCTTGTGGTTGATGTTAGCTGGTTAAATAAAAATTAAAAAAAATCATCCTGGAGACCCAGAGTGTGGTTGTCCCAGGATGAGAATGATGTTTGCTTAAAAAAACTTATTACCTCTCTCTAGGTAATCGGCAGGCTTGTTGTTTAGCATATTTTGTGGTTTGGATGGATAGTTAGGGATAGCCAGACTGGGTCCATATTCAAATCATGCATTCGTTTATTTCTTTCGACTTGATGCTGGTAGTTTGTTTTAGGGAAGACATTGTGATTTCTGTTAATGAAAATCAGAGAGGAAGTACTCTTCTTCGTAAACAAATCTAGGAGGTCATTACCATAAATACAATATCACCTTTGAGATTGGAGTTTTTACCATGAGTGACGACACCTTTGAGCTTAATTTTAGCTTCTCCCACCTGGTTTAATTTGTGAGCTTCCCCTCATGCTTTTCGTCCTCGATGAGTGTCAGTCCACAATTCCAATGTAAGCTCATCTTGTGGGGTGTCAGTCCCCAATTCCAGTGTAAGCTCATCCTGTGGCTCCTCTTGGCCGTATGCCTCATCAACAATGCGTCGCCGATGTGGGAGAAAAGCAGAGGTACTTTATTCCAATGATGCAACGCCCCAAGAACAAACTTGGCCAACCCTTCCAACCAGCAGGAGCAGATCGCCGGATCGGCGGGCGAGGACCCGCAGCCTCGGCAACGGAGAAAGGGGGCATAAACGTCGGCTGGAAACCGTCAGGAGCGCAGTGGTTTGTGCGGGGGAAGTAGAAGGAACGTGCGTTGCGCTGAAGTAGGAAAGGGTCACCACGCGCGAGGATCCAGAAGGACGAACCGTTTTTTTTACAAGAGAATGATGAACCGGTTAACGCAATCCTGAAGGAAAAAGCTAGTGGTCAACCGACCGATCTTTCCTCTCACATCCACCACGTTAAAACATTCTGATGGGCCAGCGCACCGCTTCTCTCCTTCATCCTTATCTCTAACGAAATGGCCGCATTTTTTTATCTCTCCTACCTATACGTGGAATCTCATCTAACCATGCAGAGCGCTCCGTACTGTAGTTCTTGCAACTGAGCACCTGTTCCGAAAAGGCACACTGCAACAAATAGGGTGATGCAGAGACCACGGGGTGCTCTCTCCGTTGCAGCCGTCGGCGTTCCTGCAAGGTTTCGCAACAATAGTCTTGTTGCAAGAATACATAGAAAGAACCTAGAGATGTTGGGTCCTATTGCAATGAAGGTTTTGCAACAAGAGTCTTGTTACAGAAAAATAGAGAGGTAGTTTTGCATCAAATGTCTTGTTGCAGAAAAATAGAGAAGAAAAAGTTCTACAACAGGGGTCTTGTTATAGTAAATTAAAGAAGAATTTTTTTCTTTTGCAACGGAGGTCTTGTCATAAAAATTTAGAGAAAAAAAGTTTTTTTGTAACAGGGCTCTTGTTGCAGAAAAGTCAGGAAAAAAAGGTTTCGCAACAAAAACATTATTGCAAGAAATTACGATATAAAAACGGACGGCTCGCCTCGTACAACGGCTCGCGAGGCCGCGGATCATTTTAAAAGATCCACCGGCCGACGCGTAGCACTGCCCAATCCTGAACGCACGCATCGCTTCGATCCAGTGGCGGGGGAGCTGAACGATCTCACGCTCTGCCAGTCGACGGGCGGCTAGCACTGTCCTTTTTTATTTTGACCTGGTTTATTTACAAGAGATTTCTTTTAATATAGTTTCCGTTAAAATAATCCTCTGTTTCTCTCGCGTCCCACTCCCACTCCCACCCGGCTCGGCTCTCGTCGCGTCCTGTGGTATGGCGCCGCAGTTGCCTCGGGCGCTCCTCCGACGACCCCGCCCCTCCTCGTAACCACCGTCCGTACCGATCCAAACCCCGCAGAGCACCACGGCCGCCACGGCAGCCTCTCCCCTCGACCCGGACAGCCATGGCGGCCGCACTTCTCGCCGCCGCGCCCTCGCCTCTCCCGCCGGCATCTTGGAGACGGAGGCCTCTCCTCGCGGCCCCGCCGCCCGCTCTCCGCTGCCTCAGGGCTCCTGCCTCCGCTCCTCCCGCAATCCCGCCGCCTCCCCGCAGAGCCCTCGTTCCCGTCGCCAGAGCCGCGCGCGGGGCGGCGCCGGCGCGAGGCGGCGGTGAGGCGACGGGGAAGTCCGGCCAGGCGCCGCGCGATTGGGGCGCGCTCGCGGGGCGGCTGGCGCTGGGCGCGCTCCTCGGCTCCGCCGCCCTGCTCGGCTGCCGCGGCGTGGCCCTGGCGGCGGCGGAGGACTCCATCAGGGCGTCCGGATTCGGGCTGCGGGTGGCGGCGTCCCTGCGGAGCCTCGGCTGGCCCGACGACGCCGTCGTGTTCACACTGGCTACACTGCCGGTGCTCGAGCTGCGGGGAGCGATTCCGGCCGGGTATTGGATGCGCCTTCACCCCGTCCGGCTCACCGTCCTGGCAGTTTTGGGGTACATTTCTTATCTCAGTGTCAATGCTTCATCTAGTAGATTTAGTAGTGTCAGTTCCTCAAGGTGTTCAACACTTTTTTTAACTAATGATGAAGTGGATTGACTCTGTAGCATTTTATTTTTGCTTGTTGAAATAAACCCCATTTTTGTTTTTGTATTAAACCTGAAGGACTAGAACAGCCCCAAAGAAAGGGCAACACAGTAAATCAAATTGTGTTGCTGTCCTTTCACACACAAGTCAAAATGGCAGATACATCTGTTGCAAAATGATATCTATCCTAACATGCAAACTTAAGTGAATATTAATATATGACTCATTTTAGTTAGTGCGTGGAACTGAGGTTGCTACTTAACTGATGGCCATCTCCAAGGCAACTTAGCTATTGTCTGTTTTTGCTCAGGTTAATTGCTACTAGTTCTCTAGTTGTGCATTGCTAAGGTTTAGAGACAGTGACACTTGATTATCGCTTACTAGTTACTACAGACTTGCTGTTCCTACATGGTATTAGAGCTGATTCTGAGGGGAGCACATTATGATCAAGGAACTTAAATCAGCAAGTTAGCAACTACTGTAGTTGCATGGAAAAGGTTTACTTTTTGCCCCTAAGTTAGTAAGTTATATGATATGCTCACTTTATCACGTAAACAAATTTTCACCCTTAGTCCCCCAAAAGATAGTTACCTCTTTCCCTGCCAGTTTCTCTATAGGAACATCAGGAGTTCTGCTTTGAATTAAAGAAGGGGAAAGTCTGTACATAGCTCAAAACCAGCTAAAAACCAAAGAAAAATACATGCAAATTACTCTCGATCAAGCTGGCCTATGCACGGAAGGTCACCATGAATTAAACACATGCCCTCATCAGAGGAGGCCTGGGCATTTTGGAAGATCCCGTGGCATCGCTCCTTCCACAGGGGACAGGCTACATAAATCGCCATGGACGCCATCTTCTGGCATTAGGGATTTTTACTCCATGTGAATGTTTCTCCACCGGCCAGCGACGGAAGACCTCAGGGCAATGGTAGAAGCTCTAGGATGATAGGAGAGGGCAAACCAGATTTGCTTACCAAAAGAACATCCTAGCATTAGATGGTTCGCCGGTTCCAGCACCTGGTCACACATGGAGCACACATCATTGTGCAGCCAGCCTCTCACATGCAGTCTGTCTGCAGTCTACAGTCTGTTCTGCAGGAGAAGCCAGAGTTAAAACTGCACCTCTCCTTCAGCTTCAACACTCCAAATCTTCAGTAGGTCATTACAATGAATTTGCCGAATAACTGCCCATCATATGCAAACACCGCCGAGTAAGAGTTGCAGGCTGTGAGCTTGTAAGATATGCAGTCTGGGTTTTCAGATAGCTGACCCCCACCCACGCACTGCACTTTAGAGTTTAGAAGGCTCTTTATCCACTTTCCTCCCCTGACCCCATCACAAACAGAGATACTTTTCCTAGAGGCCAACCGGAATAAGTTGGGCGCCATATCTTTCAGAGGGACTCCATCAAGCCAACCGTCGGACCAGAATGAGGCCCTTTCCCCATTCCCAATGTGAATCGAAGTGCAGGTCGCAAAGAGCTGCTGATCAGTCGCATTGCAAGTAACAGGCAGTCCTTTCAAAAGTCTGTCCACATTGTCCCAGTTGAACCATAGCCATCTTCACCACAATGCCCTGCTAAAGTGCTCCAAATATTTCACTGCTAATCCTCTACAGTATTTAGACGAGCAGAGTTTCACCCAGCTTACTAAACACTTGCCCCTGTGCGCCTCTTATCCAATGTTCAGGATGTCGGTAACTGGTACCATATCGGTCGGGTGATGAGTAGGGATTAATTGGCGAATCGGCCATTTAGCTGAATTTATCGGTAACCCATTTATCGGGAGGTTAACTACGGCCATATCTATATATCCTAGGCTATATTGCAACATGCAATGTACTAAGTGTCTAAATATGCAATCCTAGGCTACATAGCAACAAGGAAAATTGTTGCCTTGATGTTCTGATGATGTGGCATCCGATCTGGAAGGCCATTAACCTGCACACTGAAAAGTAGGGAGGGAACGGGCCAGTTTTGCGCTGAAAATGCCTAGCAGTTAATTGGTCAGTCGATAATTTGGCCTGACAGCTGATAAATAGGCTTGTTAGACAAATTAACTGGACCTACCGGTTAATGGCTTGAATAGCATGTTCTCATATCGGGAGTGGCCTGAATAGCAGTTAACTGACCATATCGGCAGTTGACTGACCGATATTTGGAACAGTGCTCTTATCCACACCTGAAAAAACTTCTCCATATCTTGTCTATCTTTTTGATAATCCACTTGGACGGTAGAAAAGCAGTGAAGAAATAGGTTGTCACACTGTCAGCACAGAATTGATAAGCATTAGATGCCCCTTTCTGGACATGAGTTTTCCCTTTCCATGGCTTCAACCTCCCAGCAATTCTATCCAAAAGAGGTTGGCAGTCAATTGCAGGAAAAAAGAATCCCAGTTAAGCCCCTCAAGGTCTCTGGCAAGCCTCTCTGAGTAGGGAATTGAAGTGATGCAGCAGCACCTGAGCTTTAGCATCATGGTCAGACGTCTCTTCACCCTTCAGACTTTTCAGAACAGGATTGTGATTCTTCCTCCTCCAGGTCATTCGCTTTAGCGTGATTTTTTTTTGTGTTTGAATCTCCAGATTTGATCCACACAATACAAGATCTCTGACGCCATCTCACTCTGTCAAGCGCTGCAAAGCCAGGCGGCTTCGATTTTAAGAGAAAACGAAGGTTTCATTCATTCCTTAGCAAATAGCTCACGTTCCTCGTGATGAAGGTCCAGCTGGAAAATCACCTCATTGGCTACCTCCTTTCTGAATCTCACTTCCTTCTTTTATCTTGTATATCACAGTTTCAGAGCATGAGCAGTTCTTGACAGCTTGATGTGCAGAATCTTTACAGCATCCTTCGAGCAAACAGGTTTAGCCCAGGCTGAAGCAGCTTCTCTCTGAATCCCTCCATTCTTAGCCAACAAAGCCTCAAATCTGAACCCTTTATAGTGCTTGAGATCCATCTTCTGGAGGACCATTGAACAGTGATGCAAAATGGTAGTTGAGGCCGGAGACAACTGATATTACAAGTGGCTCAGCTCCCAAGATTAACACGGTCGATTTTTTAATGAACCGTGTTCTCTCTCTCCTCGGACCAGGTGAACCTCCTTCCATTAAGAGCAATTTCCTGGAGCTCAAGATGCTCAATCAAGTTTTTAATCGGCCCATCATTCTGAGATTGATGTCCCCAAGAATCATCCAATCAGGCAACACACTATTCTTTATTCTCTTAATCTCGTTGAGAAAAAGAATCTTATCACTGTCATCCGGAGGCCCATACACAGCAGCATTATTGGTCAGATCAGTAATAGTACCAGTAATAAAGTGAGAGCCTGAGGCACTATAGTTGAAGGAAATAGCAAAATCATCTGTGCTGGCAACCAGGATCCCACCTCTTGTACCATTAGCGCTCTGAAGAAGTCCTCAGAAAATCTGCTGCCCAGGACCTCAGCCACAATACTTATATCAACATCAGCCAATTTAGTTTCTTGAAATGTTGCACTGGTTAGCTGAGAAAAATTTCTGTAGCGACCCCCTCCAGGCCGGGTTGTTCAACTCTCTCATGTTCCAGTTAAGGAGCTTCATATTCCATCGAAGAAAACAACGCGGTGAACAAACAAGAAGATTGCATTGACTATTGAGCATCCACCAACTGGAAGCAGCAACCAGAGCCCAGAGGCGATATAACCAGCACAGCCGGAGACAGAGGACCACAAGGCACAATACTCCCCTCCTGCTTTTGGCAACGGCTTTAATGGCATGGCTGATGGTTTTGCTTGAGTGGCATGCACCTCACCTTGGTTTTGCACACACGGGTGGTATTTCACCTTCTTCCTCCTTCTCTTCCCTCCTGTCTCTGCCCCCCCTCCCCTCCGCCTCATCCTATCATCACTGACCAATCCCGGAATCCAATCCTGTGTCACTCACACCTCGACTATCTGAGAGCTGCTGGCTGATGCACTCCCGGAAAAGGCGCTCGAGCATGTTGCACGACTTTACCTGCCTGGGCGCGCTGGCTCTCCTTTTCGCTCTCCGTCCAGCACACAAAGCCCACTGATAACTCCATGTTGTGTCGGTGACTCAGTATTGAAGTCAGCTGCACAGCATGCCTACCAGTGAGAGCTCTCCATCGCCTCCTTCTCACCGACTTTGCCTATCACCTCTGAATAGCAGTGAGATGATTGCATCCCCTCTCCTTTTGATTTGTCTTTTTGAGGAATTCTGGGGATCATCAATCCATTATAGATCCGTGCATGCGATCAATTCTTGGTTGGAAGCAATGTGTTATGTGGATTGCATGAATGCAGTACAACTTATACAAGCGACTTGTTTCTTCTTTTGAATCGACATCAATAAGATGAATGCACCACACTGCTAGCATTTTCAGGAGAATTGGCACTACAATATGGACAAGCCATAGGAGCCCCCTTCCCCTGAGAGAAACTAGGACATGGTACTAACATTGGAGTACAGGTATTCAGTTTGTGAGAGGATGAGATGAACATGTCGATCTTCCTCTCAAGCTCTTCCCTCTTAAGCCCAAACCACCTGACTAAACTACTGCCCACCTTTCACTACTACAAAGGTCAGCGTCACCTCTATTTGAAACGTCTTTGACAACCTCCTGCAGAATTCCAATACATTTTTTTTCAAGGATAGATCCCAGTGGATGCATCAGTATCATAGAAGAAGCAAAGCCAAAGTGGCCAATACAACACCGGAAACCAGTTACAACACCTCCAGCCAGCCGGAGGCCCAATATTCCCGAATCAACTACGCACTAACAGCCCACCCCACATCTAACTTCATCGGAAGAGCAGAGCTCAGTAGCTTTGCCGACTTCCAGTCCCTCGCTTCGTCGCAAAACCTTCTGAAGAACCACACACGTGGACGAAGCCGCGCTGTTGAACACTATGTCAACAAGCAAGACCGCTGTTCGAGTATCCCTGGCACTCCGCCCCTCGGTCACTCGCGAGCTCCACCAGTCAACCAAGTCTGTATTCAGGTGAGGCATCCAGTCTATCTTCCCCGAAGCCGTCAGAACCGCTGCCCAAACCTCACGAGAGAAGACGCATCCCAGTAGAAGAACTCCAATACATCAACATTCAGAGAAAATCTGCACTTCCATTTCTGTAGCGTGCAGAAGACAGTAGAGATAGGGAGAGAGTGAGAGAGGAGGGTGTGGGCAGGAAGGTGATGTGGCATCCGCGTGCATAAAATCCAGATGATGTGGAAGCCAAGTGCTATTCAGCATTGATGTTAGTAGTATTTGATCCTGGTGATTGATATATAGGGCCGTGATGATGTTTTACTGTCATTTTACAATGGCCTGACTAAAATGTAAATTGCCAGTTGTCACTCTAGTGTCAGCAACTTGTCATCTCTCTTGAGAAAATGTTTCATGCTATATATGCACAGAACTTTATATCTACTCTTTGTTTCTCCAGGAACATGGTGCCTGTGCCATTCATCATCCTCTACCTGAAGAAACTCGCAACCTTCCTCTCGCAGAGAAGCGCTTGGGCGACCCAGATAATGGACCTCCTCTTTGAGCGGGCGCGACGGAAGGCCGCACCTGTCGAGGAGTTCCAGTGGCTCGGGCTCATGCTGTTCGTCGCCGTCCCATTCCCAGGCACGGGAGCATGGACCGGCGCCATCATCGCGTCCGTCCTGGGCATGCCCTTCTGGTCAGGCTTGTCCGCCAACTTGGTGGGAGTGGTTCTTGCGGGGTTGCTGGTAAACTTGCTCATGAACCTTGGTCTGAAGCACGCCATTGGCACCGGGGTGCTACTCTTCATTGTATCAACTGTCATGTGGGGTGCCCTTCGGGGTGTGAAGAAATCGTTGAATACAAAATGATGCTCTAGCTGAATCCACACTGAAATGTTTTGAATTTGTTTATAATAACCCTTGCGAGGCCTGTTTGATGAGTTGCAAAGACCATTTCTGCCTGCTTTCCCTCCGTGCAGTAAACCGTCAGTTTCGTAGTCTTTTGGTTGCAGTTATTCGTCAAAGATTCAGAGTAACTGAAGTAGTAGTGAACAGATGTTGCTGAATCCCTTGGGTTTGTAGCAGCAGTGGATGGTTGAGATCCAAATCGTAAGATGGTTGTGAGGATGGAAGTTTGTAACTAGAATTTCATGTCACAAACTTGTCTTTGTGGTTGCTACAGGATGTAAGTTTTCGCTGCCGTAACATAGCGCAGATCCATCCATGTTACGAAACTAGAATGGGTTTTTTACAGTACAGTTTTTTTGTAACAGCATTTCGTAAGATGGTTATGCCCCGTTCCGTCTAAAAAAGAAGAAGACGCGGCTGCTGCACATTGGCGGTGCTGCCTCCCTCGGTGCATGCTGATCAAAAAGAGAGATCCAAACGAGTAAAAACCATTGCACAGAAATGAAATTACCGAAGGGAAGCAAGGGGAGATGATAGAGTAAAGCAAAAGGTGGCAGCACTGTGAAAACTTGGGTGGTTGGAAAAGAAAGAAGATGGATGCATGCATGCAGCTTTTGCACATGGCCACACTTGATCCCGCTCCCTCCGTTCCCTCCCCTGGTCATGGTCGTGTCGTGTGGGTTGTGGGGCTACCATGCATGCATTGGGATATGCTCTAGTACGTACTCGGCTTTGCAGGCCCGACAGGGAGATCGCCGGAGCCCCGCCCCAGAGCTGCGTCGCGATTCTGCCCACCCCACCCCACCACCCTCTCCTCTGTCGCCTGCGTCTGCGTGTTCCCCAATCCCAATCCCAATCCCAATCCCAATCCCAATCCCGATGGAAGCCGGGGAAGGAAAAAGATGGTGGGGGAGGAGCGAAAGGGATGCACGGCAACGGCCATCGCCAATGGCAGGCCGAGAAGGGAGCAGAGGTGGTCACAGCTGAGGACGAGACGAGATCATGCATGCAATGCCACGGCTGGCCCGCGCTGCCCAGCGAGCAAAGCTGGGTCTGGGTCTGGGTCTGGGTGAACTGGACTTTGGTGGGTCCCCACACCAGCGGGCGGTTCCTGCCTCCCTCCGCCCGTTGCGGTGTGCTTTTCTTGGCCGCGAAGACACCTGCCCCTTCCCTCCCTTGTCCTCTTCCTGCCTCCATCTGTGTCTCGACACTGCATAGGATGCCTACCACGGTCCGGTCCGGTCCGGTCCGCTGCTTTTGGCAGAGCGGTTTCGAACTTTGGACCCGTGCCACCGATCCGCCCAGGTAGGTGCGGTGCGGTGCGGTGCATGCGACGGACGCGCAGGTGGTACGCGCGTGCATGCCGCCCGTTACGTCCCACTCCCACCGTTGTTTCTGCACACGACCAGATCCCCCCAGAACCATCCACCGGCTCGCCATCCATCACAATTCACACGCGCGCCTTGCTTGTTGATCTCCACCTCCACGGACGCCCTGGCACGCGCGCGCCAGATCAACCACCACCCCGCGGAGCGCGTACGACCCACGCCACCTCCCTCCCTCCCTCCCTGGCCGCGCCGCGCGCGCAGAAGGGCAGGAACGTACGCACGTCACACGGCCCGGCAGCCCACGCACCCGCCGCGCGGCTTTCGCTTTGCCTTTTGCCCGGCCGGCGCAGCAGCGGGCAGCCGGATCAGCAGCTAGCAGGGCAAGGCTTGGATGGTAGTGGCCAGGCGCCAGGCCGTGCATGTCCCCCCCGCCCGCCCACGTCCCTTTCCTACCCACCCACCCACACACACACGCGCGCGCTCCACCACCCCCTCTTTCTCTCGCTCGCACTCTCGTTGCACCGGGACGGCAATCGCGCGTGCGTGCGTGCATCGGGCGAACGTGCCACCGTCGGGTCCAATTTTCAAACGCGCACGGCTCCGTCGGCCGGATCACGTGCCCGCCCGTCGCGCTCGCTGCGATCACGTATCGCCCTGAGAGCTCCCTCGTGTATGCATGCATCTGCGTTGCGTTCTAGACTGAACAAGGTTTGAAACCCAAGTAACACATACTACTCCTGCCTATAGCAACACTCCGCGGCCAACGACTGCTGAAACCCAGCTTCATCATACTTAAGCCCGCTCTACAATCTACATGCTCATGTATGCCTTCATCATGTTGAGTTTCGGCGGATGGCTTTTCGTGCATCGCACGTCTCCGTGCGGTACACCTCGCCGTGAGATTGCTCGTCTATCGACAGAGGGCGGTTTCCCGGCGATTGGAGACACACCAGATCGCGTCCTCCTTGACGGCGAGGGATTTGTGGTGGATTTGTGGGCGTGTCGAGAGGGAGAAATTTTTGGCTTCGTACACCATGGTGCAGTTTCCGTGTCACGTTGCACGTCTGTGTGACCGTGTCGACACGAGCAGGGGCGGAGCCAGCCCCACGGGCCGCCCCGGGCCGCCTTCGTATACAATAGCAATCATATACAATAAACTGCTACAGTGTAAAAAGGATATGTGCCTCATGCCCCAGGCGTGGGCCTGTCTCCGCCACTGGACACGAGGAGGTCTCCTCGATCCGCGGGCATGGCGGAGGGTGAGCGGGTAAATGGAGCATCTACTTCCCACTCTCCACCCCAGCGAGGTACGTCGTTTCGAGATAGCATTCATTCCGAGCTTCTCACCCCTTGCGTTCTCAGCAACACTCTTCCGTCTGTGCTGAGTTCTCGAAAGGCGGCGATGGCGGAGATGGTTGCCAGCGACGAGAAGCTGTGGGGGGTTCGCAGGAGGGGGTGCGTGCAAACTCGTAAGGCCGCACGCTGCTCATGGTTCAGTCAAGGGACGAGATAAAGATGGAGGCGCATGCGGTGGTGGATTCGGTGTCAAAGGAGAAGGAAGCGCGGTTGTTTCTGGCGAACGAGCCAAAGCACATGTTGGAGATCCTCCTTTGGGCCATGGACAAGGTGAATTCGGGCATTCCTGCAAAGCAATTCAAGTGGGGGTGTCACGCCCAATATGCGACCCTATCCAAAAGGAACTCGAAGGTCCCACCAAGGATAGACCCGCATATTAAAACGCTTTTGCAAGGTGGATATCATTACATCAACATTACATAATACATGGGGATACATACAAAAGGCATACAATGCCACACGGATACAACATCACAATACATAAGAGCATCATCCGACTACGGATGAAACACAAACAGAAACTCAAACGACATCCACCCTGCTAGCCCAGGCTGCCGACCTGGAACCTATCCCCTGATCGAAGAAGAAGCAGAAGAAGAACTCCAATACAAGCAAACATCGCGCTCACGTCAAGATCATCGCATAAACCTGTACCTGCAACTGTTGTTGTAGTAATATGTGAGCCACGAGGACTCAGCAATCCTATTACCATGGGTATCAAGACTAGCAAAGCTTAAAGGGAAAGGAAGGGGTAAAGTGGTGAGGCTGCAGCAGCGACTAAGCATATACGGTGGCTAACATACGCAAATAAGAGCGAGAAGAGAACAAGCGGAACGGTCGTGAAGCTAGCAATGATCAAGAAGTGATCCTGAACTCCTACTTACGTCAAACATAACCCAGAAACCGTGTTCACTCCCGGACTCCGCCGAGAAGAGACCATCACGGCTACACACGCGGTTGATGCGTTTTAATTCGGATCTGGTGTCAAGTTATCTACAACCGGACATTAACAAATTCCCATCTGCCTATAATCGCAGGCACGACTTTCGAAAGATTATACCCCGCATGGGTGTCCCAACTTAGCCCATGACAAGCTCTCGCGATCAACGAAGGAATAGACCTTCTCCCAGGGAGACCCGATCAGACTCGGAATCCCGGTTTACAAGACTTTTCGACAATGGTAAAACAAGACCAGCAAAGCCGCCCGATGCGCCGACAATCCCGATAGGAGCTGCACATATCTCGTTCTCAGGGCAACACCGGATGAGACATCCTACGAGTAAAACCAGCCCTCGAGTTGCCCCGAGGTGGCCCCGCAGTCTACTCGATTCGGACCAACACTTAGACAAGCACTGGCCCGGGGGGGCTAAAATAAAGATGACCCTCGGGTTGGCCGACCCAAGGGAAAGGGTAGGTGGTGGTGAGGCAAATGGTAAAACCAAGGTTGGGCCTTGCTGGAAGAGTTTTATTCAAAGCGAACTGTCGAGGGGGTCCCATAAATCACCCGACCGCGTAAGGAACGCAAAATCCGGGAACATAACACCGGTATGATGGAAACTAGGGCGGCAAGAGTGGAACAAAACACTAGGCAAAAGGCCAAGTCTTCCACCCTTTACCAAGTATATAGATGCATTAATAATATAAGAGATATTGTGATATCCCAACCAAAATCCTGTCCACCATGGAGAAATCTTCAACTTCACCTGCAACTAGCAACGCTATAAGAGGGGCTGAGCAAAAGCGGTAACATAGCCAATCAATGGTTTGCATAGGAAATGTGTCAAAGGTTAGAGGTTCATGGCAATTTGGGATGGCTCGATAAACAGGTGATAGGTAGCGCAGCATAGCGATAGAACGAAGCAACTAGTATAGCAATGATAGTAGTGAGATCCAGGGTAGCGGTCATCTTGCCTGAAATCCCGCAAGGAAGAGAATGAGTCCATGAAGAAGACGAAGCCACGAAGACGAACCAAGCGTAGACGAACGAATCCTCACGATCACAACGAAAAGGGAACTATCGAAAAGAAGCACACAACAAAGTAAACACACCAAACATGAACAAGGCATGATGCACAAACAAGCATGATGCATGACAAGGCTACATGAAGCTACTCATGGCAAGAGATCATGCAAACAAGAGCAACACATCAAGGCAAGTTTAAATGAGGCCGGGAACAACATATAACAATTCTGGTAAGTCCTCATATGCAAATTTAGAAATTGGTCCAGATCTGAATAAACCTTATGTTCTAGTTGTTAAACAACAGGTTAAGATAC